ATCCCTGAACCTCCCCCCAGAAAAAAAGCAGGGTACTTTGGCTTTCTGCCTCCTGCGCTTCTGGCTCTGGGTCATTTTGTGAGACTGGCCAAGTCACCTGGCCTTGTTGCCCTCGTCCCCCTTAGCCAACAGCCCAGCAGTGACATCGTGCAAACTCAGAGGCTCTCCCTGTGTGCTGGCCTCCTTTAGGAGGCTGGGGAGGGAGGCCACCAGCCCTGGTGACTTTGCCCTGTGTCCCCAGGTGTTTGAGATCCTGCTGAGCCGAGGCTACTCCGAGAACAGCTTCCGGGAGGATCTGAAGAGCCTTTACATGAAGCTGGGGCTAGAGAACAAGACGGTGATCTTCCTGTTCACAGACGCGCACGTGGCTGAGGAGGGCTTCCTGGAGCTCATCAACAACATGCTTACTTCAGGTACCCCTCGGCCGGTGGCCTCAGGGGCACATCAGGCTGATCCTCACCACAGCCCCTGGGGGTGGGTCTGGCTGCCCAGTGGCCCTGCCCTGACCAGCTGGTGGGCGTCTGCTGCGCTTGGGGGCCGTTGGAAGTACTTTCTTACCCAGCACTGCTGGGTCCCCAGGAGGGAGACACCTGGCTGCCTCCATTAAGGGGAAACAGAGGCACAGAGATGCCACCAGAGGTGGAGCAGTGACCCCTCAAAAGTCATCCCGACTCCAGACCCCAGACCCCAGAACCTGTGAACGGGCCTTGTCAGGAAAAGCCGTCTTTGCAGATGTGATTAGTGAAGAGCCTTGAGATGATACGCTGGATTTGGGGTGGGCCCTGAATTCAGTGACAGCTATTTTTACAAGAGAAAGGAGAGCGATCACTGGGATATAGAGGAAAAGGCCTTGTTAGGATGGAGACAGCCGCATGCCAAGGGATGCCAGAATCTGGCCAGGGAGGGTCCCCAAAACCTTCCGTGGGAGCACAGCCCTGCTGACACCTTGATCTCTGCTCTCAGGCCTCCAGAAATGTGAGAGTAAATTTCTTCATCGTTTTAAGTGTGCAATTTGTGGTAATCAGTTGTAGGAGCTGGTCACCAGGAAACTGCTGACAACTCACCCAAAGGTGCCCTGCTAAGAAGGGGCTGAGGAGGGGCTTGGGCTTCAGCCTCATGGCCACGGTGGAGACTGCTACCCTGAGTCACGATCCTGGCCACCTCTTAGCCTGCTGAGGTTCACGCAGATGTGTGACCAAATGGCTCCCAGGGAGGATCTGCCTTTACTGTGGGTCATGTTGGCACTTGACTCTAGGCATCATTGTCCTGCGGTGTTAGCAGGTCTTCTCCACCCGCCCATAAAACATGTCACACACAGCACGAGGCTGAAGGAAGGCTTTAGGGACATGGCAGCGTGCTGGCCAGGTTCCCTGGGGGGTGTCCCTCTGTGCTCGCCTTGCCCCCTCTCCTCCCACCTCCTGTTTTGGTGGGTTTCCAAGTGAAACCTGAGACCGGCCCCTCCGCCCCTCAAGAAGCTTCAGTAGGCCTGCTCTTATCCAGAGGCCAGTTTTGGGTAGGTTTTTCTTTGGATGTAAACTTAACATACAATGAAATGTGCCCATTTTGAATGTGTGCTTGCTGAGCTTTGGTAGTTGAGTTTTAAGTCATGGGGGTCAGCTCTACAGGGACAGGGACCATCCTCCACTTGGATTTACCCCGCAGGATTAGACACTGGGCAGTCATGCCTCTGGCCCCCTTGAAGCTTGGGGTCCAGTGTGGGGGGGTGGGGCTGGTTAACATCAGCAACAGAAGCACACAGAGATGGCGCCACCACTAATGTTGCAATAGGTACCATGAGGAGGGGTCCAGCCCCTTCCCCTGGTGGCTCCAGTGTGCAGTGTGCAGAGACGTGGGACCTGAGCTTGGTGTGTCTGTTTCCCGTGCTGCTCTAGCAACTTAGCCCCAGTTCCCGCTGTGGCTTCAAACAATGCAGATTCTCCCGCCGTAGGGCTGGATTCAGAGCTGGGGATGGGTCTTGTGGGGCCACAGCAAGGACGGGGTCTTTCTAGGGGTTCCTGAGAATCCGTCTCCTTCTCTTCTGGATTCTGGAGGCTGCCGCTGGCCTCAGTCCCTGATCACACCAGCCTAGGCTCCACTGTGTCACCTCAATTCTAACTGCTGGTCTCTCTCACAAGGACCCTGTGACGGACGTGTCAGACCACCTGGCTGATCCAGAGACCTGCCCCCTCCCAAGACCCTTACCCAGACACCTCTTTGAGGCTGCATTGCAGGAAGTGCGGAAACCTCACCACTGGTCCCAGAGATTAGGATGGGCATCACCAGGGGACGTCATCCACGCTCCTGCCACGGGAGTAGTGACCAGCTATGGGCTGGCAAAGTCCTTTCAGGCAGAGGGGTCTGTGTGCCACAGTCAGATGGGAAAGGGCCACCGTGGCAGGAGCACAGTGATGTCCCCCAGTGTGGGGCCTAATGGGCTGGTGCCCTGATGTGGTCTAGATCTGTGATCTGCAGGAGTCCCTCTAGCTGCCCTTAGGGACTAGGTCGGAGGGGATGAGGGAGGCGGGGGCTTTAAAGGTGAGTGGCCTTGGCCCTGTGTTAACATCACCTGCTTATTAACAGTGTGTCGTGTCATTTGAAATGTGCCAATGGTGATGTCCCGCCCTCAGGGCTCCCAGCACAGCCCTGTTGGCATTTGGGGCCGGGAAGCTCTGCTGTGGGACCACCCTGGGGTGTTTAGTGGCACCCCTGGCCCCTGCCTATTAGCGGCAGGTGGCTCTCCTCTTCCGAAGTCATAGCGATGGAAAGGGTCTCCAGATGGCCGGATGCCCCAGGTGAGCGTTCCCGCTCTAGAGAACACAAGGCTTCCACACTCAGTGGCCTCCGGAGCTCCCTGCAGTCCTCTGGGGTGAGCGGGAGGTGCCATCGCCCCCATTTCACAGATGGGTAGATGGAGGCTCAGGGGCTTTGCCCACAGGCGAGTGGGCCAGGGGTCTGAGTCCAATGCCCCAGTGCCCCAGTGCCCTAGTGCCCCGCGTCAGGACCCACTGCTCTCTCCGCCATGCTGTTCTTCTGCCGTCTTAGCTGGTGCACAGAGAGGCAGTGACCCTGGGACTTTAAAACCAGCTCCCACGAATCTGTTCTGCAGGGATCGTCCCTGCGCTGTTCACAGATGAGGAAAAGGACACCATTTTCAGCCAGCTTGGACAGGAAGCCCTAAAGCAGGGCATGGGGCCGGCCAAGGAGTCTGTGTGGCAGTACTTCGTGAACAAGAGTGCAAATAATCTGCACATCGTCCTGGGCATGTCCCCTGTGGGGGACACCCTGAGGACCCGCTGCAGGAATTTCCCAGGTACCCGGGGCTATGTGTGCTGCCCATTTGCTCCCAAGCTTCCACCAACAAGTCCACAAGACATGGCCTCCAGTGGAAACGAGGGCCTGTACTGTGGGATGTGCCTGGCTGGCCCCTTGCAGTGGCCACCAGCAGTGGGTGATGTTCTTCTGGCCTGAGGATGTGCTCCCACTCCCAGGAACAATGTGGCAGTGCATGGAGGATGGCTCCTTGTCCCCTCCCATATGGGACAGTCTTACCAGCCTTGTGGAAGGGTTCCTGCGTAGCCACAGGTTCCTAATGAGGGTGGGTGCTGCTCCCCGGGGATATTAGGATCAGGAGACATGTGTAGTTGTCAGAACCGAGGGGGAGGTGGCATGCTGCTGGCACCCAGTGGGTGGCAGCCAGGGATGCTGTAAGCATGCACAGTGCCCAGTCAGTGCCTGTGTCAGGGTTATTTGGCCCCAGGGTCAGCAGTGCCCAGTGTCAGAATAAGACACTCTGCTGTGGATGAGCCCAGCTGGGACGTGCCCAGCTTGTTCAGTGCATTGGTGGCAACTGAAGATGGAGCTGAAGTGTCTCGGGTGCAGAGCGGTGGTCGCCCTCTCTCTCCAAGGTCTGGTGAATAACACTGGGATCGACTGGTTCATGCCCTGGCCTCCCCAAGCCCTGCACGCAGTCGCCAAGTCATTTTTAGGTAAGTCCCAGCTACTGTGGGGACTGTGTCATGGGTCTCACAAAGCCATTCTACATCACCCCTCTGACCTTGACCTTTGGCCCCATGGATTCCTTTGCTGTAAACTCTATGAAGAGTTTATGAAGAACACATGCTTTTTTTATTGTTAGATTGCCCTTGTGTTTCAGTCTCAAGGGATTTCAGGAGACTTACAGAAGAGTTTGGATTGGAAATTGATTAAGTAGCATCGAGCTTGGGAGTTGACGAGCCATGGCCTCTGGCCAGTGTGGCCTACTGCTGCTGTATGGGCGCAGCTTTGTGAGCACATGGACTCACGCATTAATCCACATGTTGTCTATGGCTGTTTTATATATATATACCTTTAATTAATTAATTAATTAATTTATATGTGGTGCTGAGGATCGAATCCAGGGCCTCACACATGCTAGGCAAGCACGCTCTACTACTGAGCCTCAGCCCAGCCCTCTATGGCTGGTTTGATGCCACAATTGCAAGGGCCAGGAGTTGCAACTGAGACCAGGTGTCCCTGTTTGGCTCTTGATGGAGAAAGTGTGCTGACCTCCAACCCAGAGGTTGCCCAAGGGCGGTGGGGCAAGCTGTGGGTGAGCCTCGACTCCCTCCAGCACCTGTGCCCTGGACAGCAGCAATTATACTCCTTGAATAAGAAGGCATGTCAGTGGAACTTCAGGGGAAAATCTTTTTCTCTAGACCCACCTTGAACAGATTTATGACAAATTCCACTGAGTGACCTCAAAATAGTTTCAACCTTATAAATATGTATCCAATAAATAAATAAATAGTCATTCTATGCAAGCAGAGATCATAGCTTTGGTCATAATTGCAGGTCTTTTTTTTTTCTGGGAAGGGGCCAAGAGCATGAGTCTTGACTCAGGGGCCAGCAAGCTACTTCCGCAGAGGTCCAGATGGAAAATATTTACCTCTGTTGCAACTACTCAAATCTACAGTTATATGGTGGATGCCATTATAGACAATATGCAAATGAATCGCCATGGCTGTGTTCCAATAAAACTTTATTTAAAAAGCGGGGTGTGGGCCAGATTTCCCTTCTGGGCTGTAGATGAGCACCCTGATGTAGTGCACCCTGGTTTTCATAAGTGTGTTAGTCATTCTCAAGTGTTATCACTTGGGCTTGCTTTCAGCATTCAGTGTCTTTAATAATGCTGCCTAGAATTTGCTTAGAATTATTTTCCTTAGAATGTGTTTCCTGGTATCGAGATGACTATGCCCCAAAGTGGATATTTGTCAGGCTGCGTCTTTCCTGCAGGCAGTACCCCTGGTATAACCCAAGGTTGGGTCTGCAGAACCCCGACAGCTGATGTTTTTGTCCACTCTCCTCCCTTTGCTTGAACGAGAGGTGTATTCTGTCTTCAAGAGGGTGCTTCTTGCAGTGATTCTTCTAGCAGGTTGACAGGAAGGCTGCCTTTTGCCCAGTAGGTCCGCGCGCTGGGTATCCAGCAGAGAAGGGCTGAGTAGCTCACCTGGCCGCAAGAGGTTGCTCCCTGGGGAGCATCGAGCAGGACAGGTGTGGCGTGCTCCCCGATGCGTGCTGCCACGGCGCCCAGGGAAGAGGTGTGGCTCTCTGTTTGAGGCATGTTGCTGGAGCCTGGCTCAGTGGTCCAGAAGAGCCACCCACTCATTATAATTGCTCTTTTCTTTCTATTTTTTTAAAATTACATTTTTAAATCATTTTTTTTGGAAAATATATCTAACATAAGCTTTTCCATTTTGCCAACTTTTAAGTGCACTTGTGGCATTTGTAACAGTCATAGGGCTACACAGCCATCACGGGACCCATTTCTAGAACTTGTCACCCTCTTAACTGCTCTAAATGCAGACTCCCTCCCTCCTCCCATCAGCACAACCGCCTGCCTTTGTGGATGATGGAATCCCGCCATGTTCATGTCCGTCCTTTCAGGGTGGCCTTCTTTCTTTTTCTCTGAGGCTCACCCTGTTGTGGTGCTGTCAGCCTGTTGTGGCTATGTGCTGCCTGCCCCAGCATTGCCGTGAGCCTTGGTGGACCTGTAGAGCCCTGCGTTGGGGCTCACGCCTGGGCTGCGGCGGGCCTCTGGGCCGGGTGATTCCAGGCTGGGCTCACTGGGAGCCATCCTCTCACTGAGAGGCAGCGTTGCCTGTCCTCCCTCTCCAGGGGCTAATCCCATGATCCCAGGAGAAAATATAGAAGACCTGGTGGAACACGTGGTCTTGGTCCACGAGTCCGTTGGTGAATTCAGCAAACAATTTCTCCAGAAACTGAGGCGCAGCAACTATGTGACACCTAAGAATTACCTGGATTTTATTAATACGTACTCGAAGTTGCTGGATGAGAAGACTCAGTTTAACATAGGTAAGGCTTGGGGATGGCTGGTCGCCTGATGTCGCAATGCTCAGGTGTAGGGATCCAGGTCTCCTCTTCCTGAGTTCATTTGGGCCCATGCCGTGCCCGTGCAGGAGGGACTGGAACATAGTGACACTATGTGAAAGTGAATGGTTCCCCCTGATGAACCCAAGTTGGATGAACCTCAGGGAGGCCACAGAAGGCAAGCCTGGGCCACAGGGAGCAGGCGTGGGGACAGTGAACGGGTGCCGTCTGTCCTCAGCTCAGTGCAAGCGCCTGGAGGGCGGGCTGGACAAGCTGAAGGAGGCCACCATCCAGCTGGACGAGCTGAACCAGAAGCTGGCTGAGCAGAGGGTCGTGCTGGCTGAGAAGTCAGCTGCCTGCGAGGCCCTGCTGGAGGAGATCTCCACCAACACCGCCGTAGGCAAGTGCGGGGCCACCTGGGGACCGGCCTGTTCCCACTGCTTGCTTGTAGGTGGTCCTCAGCAGACTGCAGCCTGGAGATCACCAGCCCAGGCTGCCTCCTTCACCCTGTGACCTTCCTCTTGTGGGTCTGCACGTGGCTTTAATTAATTTAAAAAAATTTTTTTTTAGCTGTGGATGGACACAGTACCTTTATTTTGTTTATTGTAGTTTGTTTATGTGGTGCTGGGTGCCTCGTGCATGCTAGGCAAGCACTCTGCCACTGAGCCACAACCCCCCTGTGGCTTTAATTTAAAAGAAAAAATTTGACATATAAAATTGTATAGACTTATGGCAATGTGGTGATAATTCAATACATGTGTCAAACGTGAGGCCTAAACTTCTTGAAGGACACCCGTCACCTGAGCTTCCCTAGCCCAGGGTAACCTCATTTTAACTAATTACATTGTTTTCAAATAAGGTCCTTTCCTGGGATTCCCATGGACCTGACTTTTGGGGGAACACTGTTCACCCCACTGTACCTCCTGTGGGCCAGGCCCGTGGAGACTGGGTTCCAGGCCCGGGAAGGTGTGTGCGTCCTGGAGGCAGCAGACAGTAAATGCTCTGGTGATTGGACGAAGGTTCTGACTGTGGTCAGTGTTGGGAGGCCAGCAGTCAGCGTGAGATGACAGAGGGCAGCCCTCCTAGAGGGGATGGCTGGTGGCCTGGCTCTGAGTGAATATGAGACATGAGAGAGAGAGAGAGAGAGAGAGAGATCTCAGGCAGCACGGGGTCCTCAGCCGACCCTGCCCAGGCAGGGGTAGGTGTGTGACCTGCCATGGTACAGAGTGGGTGGACTCGGGTGGGCCAGTGGAGGGAGGCAGAGTTGGAGAAGCCCCTAGGTGTCCAGACCCCGCATGTTGAGGACTCTGTCCTATCGGCACGGCTGGAGGCTGTCCCGCTGGCCAGAGCTCCCTTGAGCCCCATGTGGCCCAGAACTTGAGGCTCAGCTGCTCACGGCCTCGCTGCCCTGCAGCGGAGGAGAAGAAGAAGCTGGCGGAGGAGAAGGCCATCGAGATAGAGGAGCAGAATAAGATCATCGCGGTGGAGAAAGCGGAGGCCGAGACAGCCCTTGCCGAGGTCATGCCCATCCTGGAGGCCGCCAAGCTGGAGCTGCAGAAGCTGGATAAGTCAGACGTGACAGAGATCAGGTAACAGGGGCCCCAGGCGTGCTGCGGCCGCCCCTTTGCTTCTGCTGGTGCCCACAGGTGCCAGCCGCAGTGCTGAGCACTGTACACAGGGACCGTCACTGCCCACATTTACAGACAGAAGGGAGGCCTGGAGGTGAGGTGGCCACCCTGGCCTCCAGCCCAGGAAGCCATGCCTGCCGGCCTTGAACCCAGATCAGCTCACCAGGGAGGCTGGGCTCAGCAGGGCTGCGAGGAGGCAGGGATAGAACGGTGCTCCTCTGTCCTCTACAAAAGCCAGTGTGTGCTCTAAACAGGCCAGGGTGCCAGCACCCTGCAGAAACAGCAGGAGGCCTTGCCTCGGCCCTCATCCATTTCCATAGAGAAGCACTGGGAGGGCTGGGGCTGGGGCTCAGTGGTACAGCGCTTGCCTAATGTGTGTGAGGCCCTGGGTTTGAGTCTCAGCACCGCATATACATAAATGAATAAAATAAAGGTCCATCAACAACTAAAAAATGTTTTTTTTATTAAAAAATTATTTTTAGTTGTAGGCAGACACAATACCTTTATTTTATTTATTTATTTTTATGTGGCACTGAGGATCGAATCCAGGGCTTCACACATGCTAGGCAAGTGCTCTATAACTGAGCCCCAGCCCAAGCCCAACAACTAAAAAAAAAAGCATTGTGGGGAGTGGGTCACTGTCATGGCCCCCAGACATTCTGTAAACCACTCCTGTCACCTGCTATCGGTGTCTCACCTTGTTCCTGCTCCTGTGGCGCTCCTGTGTCCCTGTGCCCTGTGTGTCTCATGCGGATCTCACAGGAGGTTGGGCCCTTCTCCTGTATGGGAACTTGAACAGGAACTCAGTCCCTGCTGCACAGGGGAACCTGAGTGACACCAGAGTTGCTGCTATGTGACCAACAAGTCATCCCTCCAGTGTTCTCCAGAGTGTGGTGCTGACAGGGCTTTAGGGCGGGTGCTATAAATGTCCCTGCTGCGTGGCAGATGGAGGTGCCAGGACAAGGTGGGGCTGCGTGTGGGCCAGGTGATAGGAGGGACAGTCAACTGCATTTTCAAGGAAAACGCCCCACGGCTGGCTACATGGTATGGGCGGCTCCCAGCAGCAGCTTAGAGAGCTGGAAAGGACACTGAAGGGCATCTAGAGAGGAAGGGCAGGGAAGGCAGTGTCCCCCTGATTGAGGGCAGGGGAGGGGGAGTCCCTGGGGTCACGTAGAGAACTTGATGCATCCCTGAGTTAGACAGGCCTCGTGCCTGAGAGAGCTAAAAGTGGCCGATGGCCTAAAGACCTAAAGGGAGTGATGGTTTGAAGTGCTATTGTGGAGGGCTGGGGCTGGGGCTGAGTGGTAGAGCATTTGCCTGGCATGTGTGAGGCACTGGGTTCGATTCTTAGCACCACATATGAAAAAATAAAGGTCAACAACTAATAAGGTATTTGAAAAAAAAAATAGAGCACTTGCCTGGCATGTGCGAGCCCCTGGGTTCTGTCCCTGTCATGGTAAAAATTAAAAAAAAAAAAAAGAGCCATTAGAGCAGGGAAATACAGTCCTGCATGGCTCTGCCTTTTACCAGCTTCATGACCTTCAGTTTGTCGTCTAAGGCTCTGTAAAATGTGGACGATGACAGTCATCCCCGATGAGTCAGGGCGGTTGTGAGGATAAAAGGCGCTAGTGTGTGAAGAATCCTCAGACCTGGCTGGGCACTTAAGCAGTGCCAGCACAGCTTTAGCCATTGTCCTGTTCCAATGTCACATCGGCGTGCCACAGCCCAGCCCAGCAGCTCCCCGGGCTACCTGATATTTGAGGCTCTCTTCAGCCCCTGGTTTCAGAGTCCGAGGGTTTGAGAGTGAGGGTGGACAAATGAAAGCACACCATTCATGTTTTTCTGCTTGCATTTTGGAGATCTGCAGGCGCGTATGTGGTGAACACCCTGCTATTTTAAACCGTCCCATCCCGTGTCGGGCCAGGCAGTCTGCTCAGCCAGGCCCTGTGGCTGTGGCTTTAGCTGGCCTCCAGTCCCTTGCCTTCACACAAAGCAAACCTGGCTGCTTTGCCATGTGCTGGGCAAGCCCCCCACGGGGTGTGTTTCTGGCGGTGGTGCTGGGTCCAAGGGTGTGGTTCATAATGCCTGGCCCTGGGGGACCTGCTGCTCCCCAGCCCCCCTGAGGCCTGTTTCCCTCACCAGCAGAGGGCGCTGTTGACATTGGATCTCTGCTGCTGCTTTTGTAGGTGGAGAGTGGCATCTGTGTAGTTCTAACTAGCGTGAGGTGGCCTTTTTTTTTTCATTGTGGAAAATGCTGTCTCGTGTTCTGTTTATCTGTGAAGTTGTTGTTATTACTGTTGCTTTTGTCTTCTTAATCATTTCCAGGGGATTTTCTTTCTCTTTTTTGCAAAGCTGGAGATGGAGTCCAGGGCCTTGAAAGCTAGGCACCTGCTCTGCCCCTGGGCTAGCCCTCAGCCCCCAAATGGCATTTTGTATGACAGGGATTCACTATCCACTCATACAATGAGTGCAGATATCTTCTTGTTTGTCTTGGCTGTTTGATTTTATTAACAAGGTTTGTGTGTGTGTTTGTTTTTGCTGTGTATGTGGCAGTATTCTATATTGTTCCTTTTAATATCCTGTCAGTTAAAATGCCTTGCTCTTGTCAGATGGTGACACAAAGCACAGTTTCTTTCTGTACCTTTATGGTTCAGTTTTTTTTTTCATTTAAAATTTTTTTGATCTATTTGGGTTTTTTGTTTGTTTGTTTGCCGGGGTCCTGTGTGAGTTTGAATCCAGCCCTCCATCCCCCATGACTGCAGTCTGGCCTTCGTTAGGTCTTTGGGATGGCAAGCCTGATGGGCCAGCACTTACATCTTGACAATTTCATAACCTTAATTCCTTGGAGGGCACTTCCTGTCCATAATGCTCAATCCCCTTTGTAGAAATAATTAAACGTTAAGCCAGGAAGACGAGGAGCAATGGAGATTGGAAGCGGATGTTTCTCTGCTGTTGGAGTATAAAGGTGCCCTTTGTCGCTGGCTTATGATTGTGCTTTTCTTCCTTCCATTTATTCCGTAGTCATTGGATCCAATTCCTGCCACCCTGAACAGGCCCTGGGGCTGGTGGCATTGGGCCAGGCAGTCCCGCCCGGCCACAGGAGCCTGCAGTCTGTGCTCCTGGCTCCAGGGGGCGCTCTCCAAGGTGGTGAGAGCTTGGCTCAGGGAAAAGCAGGTGGCTGGCGAGCCTGGGGTAATGTAGGGGGATATGGGGAGTGGGGCTTGCGATGGTTCTTTCTTCAGGAGGGCAGCGATAGTCTTATCTCCCCCACCCCCGAGTTTGTTTTGGAGGAAGAAGGGAATCCTACTCTGATCTGCAGCCTCAGCCTTTCAGACATCTCAGCCACCTGGCACCTCACCGACTCAGAGTCTGGAGCTGGAAGGGCCTGGTTCCACGTCCCCACTGTGTTGGCTGGAACGCTGAGGCCTCTGGCTGGGCCCTGACTCGCCCACGGGCTCAGGACCTGGCCACTTGGACCACAGCTCTTTCCATCTTATGTCTGGAAACATCTTGCTGGTCCTTGCCTCCCTGGTTACTGGGAGCAGTGGCCCAGGGTTGGCTCTCACCAGGCCTGGAGGAGACCTCTCAAAGCCAGCTGGCAGTGTCCCCTGCTTTTGTAAGCAGCAAACGCTAGCACAATCAACCCCTTCTCTGGTGACTCAGGGTCATCACTGTAATCACAGGCTGAGAGCTGGACTTTTGTT